AAATGCGCCATCTGTAGAAGAATGTGCGGGCTATGGAGTGCATATATACCTATCGTGAGCATCGATTTGTAGGGACAGCCGATTCGCAAGCCTCATCATTTCTGATGAGCCCGATATCAATTGGTTAGCTTAGGCGGGATTGATTCCGGGGGTTAATCCCCGATCCATTGAGTGAAAGCGGCACTCTTTTGAGTACCCGGAAACCAATTAATCAGTGGACATTCGAGTTGGGCAGCTCTTGTGTGTTTTGTGTCAGTGCGAAGAAAGCAGTATTTTTTTTCACACCTTATGGATTTTCTATAATAATTCGATAAATAAGCCCTGAATTAGCTAAGTAAACGCGTACAGGTAACAGGAAATTAATTATTGTGATGTAACCATGGCAATACATAATTGAATAATATATTATTTATGTGTTTTCCTCGCCTGTTTCACACTTAGCAGTTTATTTGGCACAGCACCTTTGTAGTATAACGGTAGGGAATCTGCTTTGTCATATTTACCTCGTCTAATCTTTCAGAGGTGTCCCATACAGTGGTGACTGCCTTTGAGCTCACCGAGTGTGATGGAATGATTTTCGAGCCTACGATTTCTGTAGGAACTGGACCTAGCTCAATTTTATTCCAAGATCGGCTCATGCAGGGCAAATTCAAAAAGTGATGGATGAATTCCCGAGGATAACCAGATGCTACATTTGGGATTGGCGCTGACTTACAAGTTGGTCTAGGTGATGATCGTTTGCTTGAAATGGCAAAAACGCCAAACATATACCAGCCCTGTAGTTCTGACGATATCCATTCCATTACTTCTGCATTTCTTCGTTAGACCAAGGTACATGGCGTGTCCTGAGAAGTTTCACCTCGACTTCCCTCTTTTTTAAGTCTTCTCTCGAGCTACTCAGCCTTCGCTGTTTTGCAGCTGTGGTCGAACAAATCATAAGTTCATTCCTGCCCTGAACCTTGCCCGATTATTTGCTCCCTCTTTCAAGTCCCACCTGGGATTTCATTGCGGCATGGCGCCTTGGACGAAATCCTGATTTTCAGGATCACTGAACATAACAACACCGGCATGAAAAACAGTGTTGTTTTTGTGAGGGATTCCAGACTGATACCGAATTAATTAGGTTCACTGATTCTCCCCGTGTTTTTGTGGGGTAAACGTCTGGCTTTTTGCTCTCCTCATAATTAAAAGTTAATAGGTTTTAGTGCTATGAGATATTGTAGCTCTTCAATGTGTATGAAAAGATACTACAAAAGATAAATGGCGTTCGGAAGCAGGTCAGAGCTGAACGGGTTGGAACATCATAAATAATTCCCCCTGGTTGTCAATTAGACGGATGGGCGAACAGCTGATGCGTCCGTGTGCGGTATAGAGAACTCTCTCGGACGTGTATATGGGATAAGATGAATCCCCCCAGGGATTCGAGTACCGATGAAGAATGGCTGGAGCACGCTGATCTTTTGTCGGAAACGCAAAACATCGAGAAAAAGTGGTGTAAAAGAGGGAGCGAAGCTCGTTCGTGCAGTCGAGAAGATTGAAGAGGTGTCGAGCTCGGGTGTACGATTGACTGGTCTGGACTAGGGCGTTGGCAAGAAAGCTAGGGACAATGGGAGGAGAATGGATGACATCTGTACATTTTTCCCACGCTGCAATTGCTTCTTAGCTATGCTTTGGTAAGGACCACTAGAACTGTTCCTTACCTATTCTTCGTTAAGAATTTATCAGAATTGGTTCTGAATGTCTCCTCTTTTGCTTGCGCTAGGCCTGAACTGCCTTTTTATGAGTTTGTTGCCATAATTAATCTCGATTATAGATGTTCAACTGGCACGAATCGATCCCGAATTGGCCCGTGAAGCTGGTGAATCGACTTTGGCCTATTTAACCAGGGTTCGGAAGAAGATGCCATCGCTGCCGGTTCCATTAACGCAGAAAATTGCCTATATGCATGAAGCGGCTCGGTTTAGGCCACAAGTAAGTGGTTTCCAGTTTGAGCATTCTCGGTTTTGGTTTTTCTTATGGTTTATTATTCTTTCCTTCTCATTCATCTGAATTTCTATAACGGTTTGGAAATGTAGCTCCGCCCACTGGTGAGCTTTAAAGTAACTATGATGGGGATTACCTAGCGAGCCGCGGTTTGGAAAGATCCTTTTCTGGATTCTCCACGCATTCATCTTTCTTTAAAATCGTTGAGGCTTCAGAAAGGGAACAAGGTCCACTCAATGACGCTGAATAGGCTTCAAAGGTGCAGTCAAAGGTTTTGTTTTCACAGAAAAGCCTGCTAGAAAACTGATTTCAAAGTTTTGGAAGCTTCACTCGGCATGGACAGGATAAAACTAGCGATTCCCTTAACGACTAAAAGGTACTAGTGGCAGCGCCTCCTGCAACTGGTCTTCCTCTTCTAGTTTAATGAAATTGTCTGAAATCTAGCTAGTACAGAGGCAAAACGTTTGCATGTGATCATTTTCATGACTGNCATAGCAGTGACCGCTTTCTGTTCATTTGTATAAAGCTCGATATCATTTTAGTTATGCCCTAAAGTAGATACCACTCATATACATACTCTGTGAGATGAAGGGATTCCATGGAGCTTTTGTGTGATTTCGGAGCTTNCCATTCTCATTCGTTTGACGTGCTGTACAGGTTTTGTACTTGCTTCAAGATACCTGCCAGCGGCTGTTTATTTCAAGAAATGGCTATGCTAATTAAGTTTTTGAGGTTGTTCATTGCTGGCCTGACCAGATCCATTCGTTGTGAATTGAAGCGGAATGATTGCAAGAGATTTTCATTGAAACTGGTCCGATTCTATAGAATTATGCAGATTGGGGTGTCCCTAATAGTCAAGTTGTTGTGGTGTTGGAATTCACCTAAGCGTAGTTGTTCTTTGTATGCGGCATTCCTCGCTCGGTAATGTGAGATGTAATCATTCACTGATGTAGGACCAAAATGGGAAGATATAACTGGCGTTTACGGTTATGGCGTCGTAAAAGGAACGATGTATCAAGGCAATTGCCAACTTCTTGAGGGCGCTTCTGGAAGAGCTGGAACGGAAGTGAGCTTCAATTGCTTGGTGGTGTTCGTTTAAGTTGTACTAGCAGGAGCACTCCGTTTATCAGGCAGCACCAGTCGGTCCTAAGATGGCGATTCTGAATAATTCAGTTGCGAATGGGTCGATGGATACTATACTTTCCCGAGCAGAGCAATAGGGGGTTCATCTGGATCGATTGCAATCCTCAGTGAAAATATGGGCGAGGTGGTTTGATGCGGGTCTATCACCTAAACGTTGACGTAAGGAGGGCCATTGAAGAGTTGACGTAATAAGGGCCAGTGAAGACCGTTTTCATTGGCGGATTGGTCAAGACTACGGTGGGATCTTCTAGAAAGATGAGTCGGTTTTTATTTCATTGTATGTTCGTCGGTATTAAATATTGTTTCATCCATCAAAGCCTTGACAAACTCAGCGTCGACACAGGCCTGGGCGTGGGAATTTTCGAAAAGGAGCCGAGACTTCCGTAAAATTAATTTTCAAATGAACTTTGTTATCTTCAGTGTATAGATTCAGTGCTGAAACATATAGCAAGATTATTTGTCTTTTTCCAGAAATTCGAGCTACAACATCTAATGGAACTGAGGTCGCTGTTGAACCAGTTCGTGAAAATGTAAGTTTTTTACAATTCGTGCTATTCAATCCCCTTTTCATTAGATTTCGGGGAGATCTTTTGTTGACATTGGCACGGGAGGTTGTTGAAAGTAACGACGACGTTGTTTTTGACTAGATTTTGAAGGTCACAGGTCTGCCACTTTGCTCGCGCTACTTAATGATTTTTTGTGGTCTTGGAAAATATTAAATCCTTCTCAAGCCATCTTCATTCTGCCTTTTGTGATCGTTCATGTTTCATTTTGGAATTTTTATATTTTTTTGCATTTTCTGAAAATTTTTCACTTTACTCACCAAGAACTGGATTTATCGGAGCAGCGTGCGGTTGGGTTCAGTTCAAATTGATTTTTCGGGCCGAATGCAAGTGAATGGATCTTTTAGGCAAATATAGTTGACATAGGGTTAGTATAGAGCTGGGACCAAAGATGTCTGTCGTGGAAACACAATAAGTAGCTAGAAGGGACAGAAATCATTCCGACAAAGGCGTACGGCGCAAGACCTGTGACGCTTCGACGCGCGCAGCGGTCCTGAGAAAGACTGTGTGGGGGGATAAAAAATGGCGAAAGTCTGTTCCACCCACAGTTATATCGTTTCTTAGCTTCTTTTTTGTATTTTCAATTGCATGTGTGACCATTAAAAAGGTTAACGTTTCGTTTCGATTGATTCGAAAGATTTTGCTGATTGCCTTTATTCATTAGAAGTGATCAGCTTTCCCAGCTTTTTGCCTCCTTACTGGATTTGAAGGAGCGAAAAGTGGTCTGGTCTGGGAAGATTTGTCTAAGACTCTATTATGTTCCCGTCTTCTTTTACTTGAGGTCATATTTCGTTTCATTGATTCGCTTCATTTTATCAAGTTGCCGAACCATGCACCACTTTTGATGAGAGTTGGGTCCTACACGCTATCCCAAATGGCCTGAGGACAGACATTATCCCAGCAAAGCTTGTCTGACTGGCTGGTCCTCAAAAAAAAAAGCTTCTGGTTATGTTTTTTTAACTTGAAATAATTTCTGTCGAAAAAGAAGCCCTATTTGACGAGCAGTTTGAAAGAGCGGCTTTTCCTCTTTGAATTTTCTCTTCCTTTCCCTTTTTCGTAGTAATACTTTTGTACTTTGGTGTTCTAGTTGGATTATGAGACTACCCTTTCGAAGGAATCCTTCTGCTAACTTAAGCCTCAAGTCTGCAGGAGAAGTTTCGAATCCTTTTTTCCACCAATTCAATTTATGGCAGGGAGGTGCTGGGCTGTGTCCAATTCAATTTCTCTTCCTTTTTTTCTAGACAGAGTGAGTGATTTGGATGGAAATGCGTTGGACTTCAGCCACGGCTTAGTTGATGTACTTGTGCCATCTTTTTTGTCCTTTGCTGTTCTTTTCTTCCTTTATCTCCCGTCTTTTTGTTATGTTTAGTGAAGATACATGAATCATAAACGATCCAGTCATCCGCATCATGCAATCATCGCATTCGTGAATAGGAGCGATTGACGTTCCATTTAAATGCGCCAACCGGACGTTCTGTGATACATCCTCCGGTGTTCGCCTTTTCTCGGAGATTTACGTGACGGTTTTAAGAGAATTTCAAAGGAGACTTCCTGCAGAAGAAACGTGAGAAACCCCTTTGAAATGGTGCCGGTTTGGAAAGTGCGTGGGTATTTTCTCCCATTCAAGAGATGGTGTTTGGGATGGCTTTGTTCCGAAATTGTTAATAATTGAATAGTTTCCTCATTGCCTCTGTTCCTTGTTGGCTTCGGAGCTTCCATGGGTGATCCACTTGTTGGGCTGTTTCGATCGACTGGGGGTAATGGTTATGCAGGGGTGTTTTTGGCTGTTTTCTTTCCCATGAGACGAGATTTCCGCCCGTATAGTCCCAGGTTTCGTTAGACAGGTTCTCATTGGAATCATGGATCATTTGGAATTTCCTTTTGCGGTCAGGGTCGTGATAAGCCTGGCTTGGTTACCGTTTCATGGCCTTGCTGTTTTTTTTTGACTGAACCAACTCTGGTAGTGTTCGATTGTCTGTTTGAGTCGATTGGAAGATAGTGAGGCGTTTAATGCATGATAGCATTTGAATAGAGAAATAGCTGTGTTATAGTGCTTGCTTTTCATAGGGCCCCTCTCTACACGCCCATGGACGTCGTTGAATTAATTCATGCGAGAGTGATGTTCGTAGGCTGTCAAATCGCATATGCATCGTCTACCACCAACAGTGCTTTCGCCAGTCTCGTGGCCCAGTGTCATGAGACTTCAGATCTGCTTAATGATAGCCTGTCTTGACTCTTAACAGTTCGAAGGTCCGGATCTCTCTCCGGCTCTGTCGCGCTGTCCTTATCTCCCTCTCCCTCTCTCGTTCCAGTTGATTCTCTCCAAATCAACTTTTCCAACTTCTGGCTACCGGATGATCTCAAAAAGCTTTTACATATTCGTTTAATCATTTATTTATTTATGTGTCCCGATAGACTCACCAATCAAGCAATTCGTGAGAGTAACAGATGAATTATTGATGAATTTCTCCTTACATCCGTGCGATGTGCTTTTGCATGATTGCTCTCTCTGATGTAGTCCTCGCGTATGTGTTTTGTGCGTATTGATTGGGGCTTATTTTGTTTTTGTATTTCGTTATATTTGGCCATAGCCATGTTTGATTAGCTGGCAACAACAATCTGCTCGACCTTGCCACAGTTATGTCCTAACTGGAATTCCGTCCTACCGGATTCTATTCGAAGTCTAACTTCGCAAATGTCAGTAAACTAACTAGTTCCAAGCAATTTGATTGAAAGGAAATGCTCTTCCTAGTCAATGCAACTAAAAAATATATGAATTTTCTGAATATAATGATTTATTGACTAGTATTGATTTTCTGTTGTATGTTTCTAACCATTAAGGCCCTGTTGTAGAGTACAGTAACGATGAAGGAGGGTGTTGCTTGAAGAATTCTGTCCGCCTATTTCAGCATTGCCGATGCACCGGTAGTGGACGCCGCCACGACAGCAAGCCCAGCCAAGGGCCTTCTCCACCATTTGGGACAGAAAGCGCTTTCCAGCAAGAAACGGCAATCGAAATTTGGTGGAAGTGACGGTAAGCCTAATCGTCCAGTCAATAATTGATTTACCGACCAGTTTTCGATTACGGTAATTATGCCAAATCAAACTACAATAGTGCTTGTGAACTAATGCTTACGTAGAAATCAGTTATTTTTCGGTTAGAATTACGAAACCCCCTATGCATGTTTACTCAGTAGACGGTTGGGAGGGTTAGGATTACTAACCAACCCCATTGTGTTAGTTCTAGGAAAATAGGATAAAGGAGCAATATGAGCCATTGGACGTCCGAAATCCAGAGCTCTTCCAAATCAGGTCTTTAGGTGGGGCATCGTGTTTTTTTTAACGGCTCATTTTTTCTTTTTATGTCCAACTAATGGAGTCGATGCAGTGATTGCTAACTGAGGTTATTTAACTGATCAATTCCTATTCATTCCATGTGATACAGTATGACAGCGAACAACTGATTACTGTGATTTCTGTGTAATTTACATCTTTCCTTTAATATTCCTTCGTATATGCCGATTTGTGCAACTGTTATGCTAAATTGATGATTTGTGAAGCTCAAGGCTTCACGGCGTGAATGTCCAGGCGCCTAAACCTAACCTAACTTCCCTTGCATGTGTTTGAAGAATTGTTTCAGTTGGTCAGCTTAACTCTCCAATTTTTCTTTCCTAACTGCTTTGAGGAAGTCTTGGTCACCTATGTAAGCAAATCTAAACTCCTTGGTCAAGAAATCCAGGTGTTATTTTGCTGTGCAGCCGTAAAGCTAGCACCAAAGCCGTAGAGTTGGAGTAGGTGAAAAAAGCGCGGCGCGTCTGATTTCTCATTGAAATTCGTATTCTAGTATTACTTTCGCATAGTCAAGGGGATAGTTAAAGTAATGTAGTGAGGTGTTGAACTGAGCACTTCTTCAGAAACCATAGAAGGGTATGGCCGGGCGGTTCTTCTAGAAACTCGAATCGTCTGACCATGAGAAGGCTAGCCTTCGAGGCGTGTAAGGAAGTAATGGGCTGGTGCCTATAGCCGGCGCCTTTTCACCACTACCGTTCCCTTAATCCGTTACCGTACCGCTTACCTTCGCCTTCCTAAGAGCTTCAAACCCATAGCCTGTCAGAACCCCTGGCCCTTGAACTATGAAACTATGAACCAAAGCGAAGTAAATGTATTTGATCAATCAAAATGATCACATCAAAATCTTACAATTAGTTTTTTGATAACCAAGATCGACTTTCGAATATTTTCGAAGTTTTGCATTACATAAGTGTACCAGTGTGATGTTTTAGATGTTCAATCTCCTCGACAAATACGCAAAGGTATATACAAATGTAGTAATTGTAATGGGTGTTCGCTTGCATGTTGGCTTAGGCAGTGGGTAAGCTGGACGAACTGCGAAATACTGGTGAAGTTTGGGAAGTCCTAGTGGTTTTCTCATTTTGTGGAGCTACATCGCTCGTAGATCGACAACGTGCCAATGAGAAAACGCCAGGAGCCCATATTAGTCTTCTCCAACTTGTGGTTCGGTCAGCATACTCACTGACTTTGAATTTTTATCGAAGTTGAACCTCGCAGTTAAGAAATATTCGCTAGTCGAAAAGGGTCCGGAAGAGTTTCTTGACCACATCCAGTCATGGAGTGGAAAAATATATTGTGATATGGCTGTAAGAAAAAAGAAGGCATATTTTTCGATATTTGCATTTCTGTGCGATATTTTCGTGATCGGCAAAGCTAACAAATTTGCGACCGAACCAGTTTCTTTTTTGGTCATGAGGGAAAGAATTGGGAGGAGGGGGTAGGTGGGCAGACAGACTTGTGTGTGAATATCTCCTACATCCCTTTCAAGGGGGTAACTATGAGAGCGATACATAGCAGTGACCGCTTTCTGTTCATTTGTATAAAGCTTGATATCATTTTAGTTATGCCCTAAAGTAGATACCACCCATATACTCTGTGAGATAAAGGGATTCCATGGAGCTTTTGTGTGATTTCGGAGCTTTTGCGATAGAATTTTGACATTTCTTCAAGTTTTGGAAGATTTAGATCCGTTTTAGGCTACGGCATTGTAATATGCTTAATTAATGTCGAATTTGTGTCTGTGATTCGATTGTGTTGTGCAGTTGTCGTTTGAATTTTTCATGATTTTCCATACTAATGTCTCTTTTGAAATCCCTCCAAGGAAAAGGTTATTGTAGATGTATATGAGGAATAAGGCGTAATATCAGCATACTCGATAGTATACTCAGCTGTACCATTCGGTAGAGGTGGGGTTTAAAAGTGAAAGCATGCAGGAGAGGTAGTTCGCAAATGACAAAGAAAAATCACCGCGGTTCGTTCAAGTTTTGTACGAGTTAGAGAGCTTGAACAAAAGGTCCGCGAAAGACAACGTTCTATGAGCTGTGAAGGAAGGGGGGGGGGGGGGGGGTGAGATCGCAAGTCACGATCAATTGGTGAATCAGCTGTTCTAGAGTGCAGCACACCAAACCGAAGGCGGGCTATTGCGGACCCTTTTTAGGTCGCCAGGCTGGATTTCCAGTTCCCAAAACCGCTTTTGATCTTGAAAATATCGTCTTCTGTGCAACATTTTCAGAAGCTCTCCTTTCCAATGTTAGGTCACGGTAGTGCGTGTCTTGAAGCTTTGAAGAACACAGATATCCGTAGGGTCCTGAGCGGCTACTATGCAATTTCGTAGCATGATTATGGTGCAATGAGGTTTATGCTTGGGGTTTTTAGAATGAGTTAAATAATACTGAAGTGTAATGTAATATGATATTCTGTGAGGTGTTTCTTCTTTGTCTAAGTGGAGAGAACATTTTCCCCTGATTTTCGGTGCGAGCTAGCGTCACCCCGCGCTTTGGGGGCTTTGACACACCCACGCAGTCGCTTCCAACGGACGTTTCCTTTCATTTTACCTCATGAACTGTTCAACTGCGTTTTTTCATCGAAATGTAACGGCCAGTGAAAAATTAGATTGGGGAAATGCTTGAAAGTCTACCGAAAGTCTGGTAAAGGCAGAGCTTAGTTGTGGTTCGGTGACCATGCGGTTTTCATCTCGGAATGATTATCGGTATTCGACCTATCATCACTTTTAATTATTATATATTTATCGGGAATGATTAGAGGTAAAACACAAATACACAAATCAAATGGGTAGCTCCAGGAAGACAAGTTAGAAGCGAGTTTTAAGGCGAGGATTGTGATGACTGCGCTTTTGAACTTGACATAATATTGGGTAATTGCTATTTTAAGTTGAAGATGTGCCTCTCTCAAATATTTTATTTTGAATTTGTGTTTGCTCATCAGCAAAATTGCCATCTTTTCTTTCCCTTCCTAGCTGAAATCGGATTTTGAACTGTAGCTCGTGAATTCCTTTTTGGTACCCTTTTGTTCCATTCGATTTAAAGATACTTGGCATGCTGGACGCACTGCGAATCGTTAGCGGATTTTAGCATATCTTTGCGTACTTCTCATTAGCCCATAATCGAACTAATTGTCAATGAGGAGTACGCTGGGCTCGTAGGGGGTCGACTTCACTGCAGTGCATCCAGTTCACTTACGGCTTTGACTTCAGTAAAACAGAAGACTTCATTATGATTTTTCATTTCGCTAGCTTTATCGGTTGCTGTAATGATTGGTTGCAGGCGGCCGTCTATTGGCAGGTTGTATAAATGAGGAACGTGTCTCGCTTCTGCCTGTCGACCCAGATCGCCTCGAACCATCCAATCGTCTGCGTCGTCAGAGCGATTCACATCGGAGTTTGCTCGATTAACCATCGCTTTTCCATTTCTGATTAGATGTAGTCAATAACCCTATTTCTCTGCTGTTATGTTGCATTGCGGGTTACCTGAGTAATTGTAAATTCTCCTGAACGCCCCCAAAGAATTTAGGTTTAGCCCTGTTGGCGTAGCGTAGATGTGAAAAGGGTTTTGTCGGGAAGTGACGACGCTGAGAGGGCGTTTTCTGAGTCTGACTTTTGCCCTTTTATCATTGCGACGTCATATCACGACAGAATTGAATCATAGTGTAAGCCTTGAATATGGCCCACTTAGGCAGTTGGCCGTGGCCATGTCAAGTTTGCTGGACAACTCTTTTTTTTGGCGAACCAACGTTGCTTTAGCCATCTGCAATACAGCCAAACTATCGCCACCAAGCTGCCGAACCACGCTTCCTATGTTATTGATTGGTTCCTATTATTACGCGCTATAACCAATCAATAATTTGCAACGATTCTACAATATGTCTCTCGAGCTTTCTTTTCCCTTTGTTTTATTTCCATTCTTAGTTGCTACTTAGAATTGACCCAAGTAGTAGTAGTATCGATTGGTGAGCGAATTATGAGACAGGTCAAATTTGAGAAGCTTTTCAATTTTGTTTTCGTTGTTATTCGCATTTATTTACGGTACAACAACATCATATTCATTGCTCACCACATATGGCACAATCTGCTGAAACGTTATTGATTTTTGTCAAAATTTGGTATTGATCTGATCGGTTTTTTAATATTTAATATTTTAGGAAAGCAACATAGCAGTGAACTGTGATAATAGGCTGTGATTACACAGTGTTGTGTTTGCTTTTATAGCGATGTAGTCAGTCACGCACCTCATATGTCAGTTGATCAAAGTTGTTCCGACATTATTCATCATTATTGATCGGTTATTTCTGCGAATTTGGTTTTTGTATGTATTGGTGTTGAAGTTCCCTACTAGAACAGGTGGATTGTAGCTAAAAATGAAGTGTTTTCAATTATTTGAAATATTGCGAATTGTTGAAGGTTTGATGACCTGTCGTTACCTACCAGTTATTGATTTTGTAGCAGCAACGTTTCAGGCGATCGATAGATCAATCTAACAATTTTCTTTCTGTCACAGAGTTGCCACCAGTGAGGCGAGCTCGAGACGGTGATGAGTCTCGCTGGTGTGCGCGATCCATATCGTAATCGTCAATACTACGAGGATCGTTATGATTTATCGTCGGGACAGTCAGTGGTCAGTTTCGCCGACTTCCGGCCTTTTTATCGTTTATTTCTTCTTTGTATTGATTGGAATAATTTCCGATTTCCTTTGTTTTTCTTTCGTTATCATTTACACGGTTACAGTTGAATAATGGTCTTCATTCTTCAATTTCGAAAGAACAGAATGGCTTTTTTGTTTTAATTTTTGATTTTTAATTTTCGTTTCTGATAAGTCCAGTAGAAAAGTAGCTTCGGATTGTTTTTTCTTTCTGGAAAATACTATATGAAGTGATCTCAACATCTTTTTTCCTCTCTTTTTTCCTCCAGATTCCTTTCTCTATATGAGAATAAGCAGTCGGAATGTGGGGGGTACAATGGACATGACAAATGATCAATTATTTATTGTGTAATTATGCAGTCGTTCGCGTCAGCTCTGACTGACCATGACTTGCAATTTGAGGATGAGCCTGGAATTGTTCATTTCTGGGAAGTCACATGTTTTGTTGTCCTTACTTCTCTCATTAATATTGCTTCGAAAACTTCTCGTTGTATTGGATTGGCTGGAATTTTTCATTCATTCGATAGAGGTAGCCTGGATAGTTGTTCTAAAGAACTCGTGCTTTTCTGGATCAACTCCCTACACGAGTCTGGGCGGGTCTGTCTTGCCTTTTATAAATTTTGATAGTAGTATGAATTCACTATAGAAGATCCAAATGGCCTTGTTCATTGTCAGAAGCTTTTTTGGGTGATATGAGTGCATATGTTCGTGCCGTTGCTAAAGTTCATATCATTACCTATTTCCATAATGTTACCTGTTTTGAGAAAGTGTAGAATTTCAAAATAGCGGCCTAGACGAAGGTCGCGTGTTCAATTTCATGCCATGCTTGTCCATGAGCTGCCCTATCCTGCAGTGCTCCTTCAAAGGCTAGTCCTATGCACACTATGCACGTTTTGATATGGCAATAAGCTCCAGCTGCTTTCTTTTTCCTCATGCTCAGATGCTGCATCCTTCTGCAAAATTCGTGTGTCTTTCTCGTGGATTTTGTTCAAGCTGCAATTGTAATGCTACTTTTATGGGGTTCCCATAGGAATTGTACGACTTGTGCCGAAAAATTGATTTGCTATGTCCAGTCTCTTGGTCAACGAAGCACATTCCCTGAGAAAATTTTAATGAGCTGTGGTCGCCGTATTTGTCACATTCAGCCCTTGACGCCAACAATCTTCCAGTACCTACGAATGTAGCCAGCTCTATCCGTCCTTATATGCTTCTGTATAATTCGTATCCGCCTTGGCTTTCATTACATTCTTGAACGCATGCTGAAAAGTGCATACTACTCTAAGCGTCCTTTCCCTATCCTTTTGACCTTTTTTTTATTAAAGTAAGGGCTCTAAGTGTGATTGTGGGAGTGCTGACAGCTGTACACGAATGAATGAGCAGAAAAGAAAGTGCACTTCAGTTTTATACGCTCGATATAGCGTGTTCCGGTGTGTAATAGCTCTTGTCTTGCTGAAAGGGAGATCGATTTTCAGTTTGTCTATTGAAATAACCCATGAGTGCATAAGTGTAGTGTTATATAACGAGGAGGTGCCACCTACAAAAACCTTTGTTCTGGGGTAAGATTATCCTGAGCTAATCTGTTCTCTTCGTATAATCTGGAGAGTTGCTTAGCGATAGTGCTCTGCTCCATGTCGAAGTTCCAATTCGGTTTCACGCTCCATTGCTGCCGTTCGCAGAAAGCAATATTCTCAATAGACGTCTGTATAACTGAGTTTCACAGCGAAAATTCGCACAACTTCGTTGATTTGGTTTATTCAACGTGTCTGTTTACAACTGATTCTTTTTTCCTGCCATGGCACATTCCTATTAAGTAAGGGTAAATAAGTTATGTAAATTGTCGAAGAGCAGTTTAGATAAGCGCTTCGGCAGCGGCAACAACTGCAGCGAATCACTCGACCGGTGTTCTGGTGCCGTTAAAGGCTTCAAATTCCGTGGACAAGAAGAGCCTGTCGAATTCAGCGCAGGCAGGAGCGCCAGCAGCAGCAGGAGCGCTTTTCCCGACAACTTCTTCGCCGACTAGAATCACCGTCACTCCCGCTCCGGCTGCAGTTGCCGGAAGTGGCGCCGGAGGTGGGTTGTCTGTCTTTTTACCGTGGTTGTGAAATATTGTTTTGCCCAGAGCTTTTAAAAAGAGTGGCGGAACTGATTACAGAACTGGGTCGTCTTATGAAAACAACATGGGATGATATCAAGGAACTGCTAGGGTTCATACCGACTTGCCACAACGGCGGTACTCGAACACCCGGCGCGACCTGCCGTTGTCCTAAGCTATTCGAGGTAAGGATTTTCCTTTCTCCTTCTCTTTTTATGTTCGACTTTTTTCTTTTTTTTTTGCAAATTTCAGCATGCATTAGTTCCATTTTTTATCCGGAAGTTTTCTAGGGCGCTTTATGCGACAAAAAAATCTGTCTGAATGGTGGCAAGTTAGAAAGGGCAAAATATGGACCGGTTTCGTGGGACTGCAAGTAAGTTTGACTCATTCATTTTTTGCCATTCAGCTTTATCATTATTTATTTTATTTTATTTTTTGTGTTTTTCGTGATTTCAATAGGATGTTACACAGTTCACGTCACTGAACACCATTTGGAAATGCGAATTTTTTTCTGAGATTTTTGATCAAAGCGCCGTCCAGAAGCGGTTGCTTTCATGCTTGAACTGTGAAGCGTTACCATGGCGTCACTCGACGTCTTTAAGTGATTACGTAAGCATGTAGGGGGTGGTACATATAAGGGCGTTGAACTTTTACTTTACTTTCGCTCAGAGTTATTTTCTTCGCGTGGGAATGAAGGTTAAAATAAGTGGCTAGCGTCGATAGGGGACTATCATGTGAAGTGATGGAAAGATGGTTGAGAAAATGAGCTTTGATGGGGAAAATGGGCGCTGCTAATACGGGCAGAAACCCGACTTTGAACATTATGCAGTAGTTTTTATCGTTATGCCTAGAAATGACTTGATCAATAACCATTTCTGTTTCTTCTTGGCTGCAGCACACCATTACCCGGTCTCTGCTCATCACGTAACTCGTTGGCTTCATTAATGATTCGCCAGAATTGGAATGCTCTTTCGCGTTTCGGGCGAAATCTTTTTGTAACTTTATTGACCGGTTGCTGACTACTGCAGAATAGGAAGTCGAGTATGAGACGATCCTAATTAGGTGCGNAAATGGGCGCTGCTAATACGGGCAGAAACCCGACTTTGAACATTATGCAGTAGTTTTTACGTTATGCCTAGAAATGACTTGATCAATAACCATTTCTGTTTCTTCTTGGCTGCAGCACACCATTACCCGGTCTCTGCTCATCACGTAACTCGTTGGCTTCATTAATGATTCGCCAAAACCGGAATGCTCTTTCACGTTTCGGGCGAAATCTTTTTGTAACTTTATTGACCGGTTGCTGACTACTGCAGAATAGGAAGTCGAGTATGAGACGATCCTAATTAGGTGCGAGAAGTCGGAGGATATCGTCGAAAGGTAATAAATTGAAGGGAATGGCAGGAATAGTAAGTTAAAAGTCCAAAAAAAAGTGTTGTTACCGAAACAGTTAACGATTTTCGTTTCGTTTGTAGGGCTCGCTAGGAAGAAATAAGCTATCTATTATTCCATTCCGCTCCTCAATTCAGATTCCACCCGTTCTTCCAATCAATAATGTAAAAGTTCAGTTGTTCGATAATTTTACTATCCTGTCGACCCTTTTCTTTCCTAATCTTGTTACACTCTTCATTAATCTCCCTTTTACTCGGTTAATGACGGCATGCATATTGTAAAACAGCATACCTCGTGGTTAAGGTCGCCTTGCACCAGGGTCGAAGTAGTTTCCCCTACCGGTTCCTTGCATCTGTACGTATTTGGTCGTATAGTGGGTGCGATGTGGTCTAAAGACGCTGTTTCATAAATTCAATGGGGTTGGAAATGGGTGGGCCGGCGATTGTTGGTAATCCGTCGATAAAGCCTATGTTATGAAAACATCACTTATCGTCTTTTTAGTCACGCAATAATCCAATGCACTATTAATATCCTTTGATGCACTACCTATCGTGCACACTACCTTTAATGGGAAACATGCACGACAGTAGGTGCGAAGGAGCGATATTAAGTAAGGCCTAATTAGTGTCAGGCGTGATATTTGGGAACTAGAAGCAAGTGCAGGTGTGAATGGGCATAGTGACGGTGGCCTGAGAGTGAGTGTGGGATCCTCCTGTATATAGGAATCGATTAGTGGATCAAAGACATCGCCAAGATTGGGTAATAAATGTAATGTAGTGTAATAAATGTATTGTAACTATTGAAAACCTCAGCTTTGACTTACTAGTTTTGGTAAGCTTGTACAACTATATAATTCTGGCATTTCGTTTTTCCTCTTCAGATGTCCAACGCCACAGTATATAGAGGGTACTCACTGTGAGACTGTACGATGTGCGAATAACGCACCGTTACGTACGGAGACTAACGGTAGCTGGTGGTGTGATTGTTCGGGTAGTACATTTTATTCGGGACGATTTTGTGAGGTTAGTTGGTGAATTTTTTTGCGAATTCCTTTCAACTATATTAGCGGTTATTGATTAGTCGATTATCGACCTTGTTTTTCAGGAATTTTCTGCGCCATATGCAATATTTGCTGTACCGTTGGCTTGTTTATTGTTATTCGCATTGTGTATAGCCGTCTGCCAAATGGATTTGTGCCCTCGACGACGACGAACTTCGCGACATTTCCGACATTCAGCTGAAACTGGTCAAGCACATGTACCACCTCGAACCCGTCGTCGAACACCGGCTGGAGCACAGTCTAGACCTCGACCTGGTCAGGTGCCCCAACGGGCAACTGTCACTCAGGTGAACCTTTTTTGTCTTTTAGGTTTTGGTATTTTGATATGAACAATTTTAAGTTGTTCCATGGTTTAGGAACTTCTCATAGCTGAAGATCGAGCGATGTGTCGACGAGGTATGGCTTATCCGCAAGGTATTGTCGCACCTTACGTCATACGACTCGATACTATACCTCACTTCAATCCACATATGATAGGTAACGACTTTGAAATATTCTTTTTTGTAATTCTTTTTTCTTATTTTGTGAAATTTTAATTTGTGTTCAAATTTCTAAATGTCACGTATCTGCGTTTTCGTCGAGAGTGCCTTATTTTTCTGTGCTTTTATCGTAAAGCTTGTACCGTTCAGGTGGAGTTGAACCAATACCGCCAGCAAAACCAATGGATCCTCCACCATCCTATGAACAAGCCGTTTCTGCGCCTCCCGTTCCTCAACCGCCAAGTTATACAGAATCAGCGAATGAGGTGAGCTGCTAAAGATTTGGATTTTTATCAGTGAGCTGCTCCATTGCGATTATTTTGATATGAGGCTCCACGAACTTTTGCTCGTGCACGCCGTCACGAGCCTATGTAACTCAATATTCTGACCTTTTGATGCTGTTTGCTTAATTTCCTTTCCTTAAGCTTTCAACTCTGCATGCTCTATAGTAATAACAATGTTTTTCACCCACATATTGTGTTCAGGAAAGAACTGCTCATGGTTTCCTCCCGTTTGATTTTCCTGCATTTTTGCGAACACTTGAAAGGGTAAAGTATCATGGGGAAGTCGGCATTATGGGAAGATGGGAAAGTCGCTCATCACACCTCAGTAGGCCAGCAGTGTAGTGTCGAGAGGAAACAAGAAATAAATCATACGGGCAGCCGTCTATGGTAGTCTAAGGTTATTAATTACATATGCGACAGGGGGAGTCCTTTTTTACTGCAAGGGGTCGAGACCTTGGTGCAAGTATGTGGTGAGCCCCTTTTGAGGGATAACTTTATTTGTAAAGAGGACAGCCCTCAGAACAAGCTTTGACGACGTCCAAGGTTACTCTCTGCTGCTGGACCCTGAGGTGTACTCACACAAGCTGCACCACCGACTCCAACCCTACCCCCATCTTCAGTTAGCTTCGGAGCGCCATCATAAGTTCGCTTCTTAGCTGTCTTATGTTGCTCCTGCAGTGTTCTTGATACGATAGGAAGTATTTCAGTGTGGTCCACCTCAAACGCCAGCTCCACCACCGCCTTTACCGCCGGTTCAACCGCCACCGCCAAATCGTTTACCGCCTCCACCTCCATCATCGTCTTCCTGACAGGCATAATCTTGATTCGAGGGCTTTCGTTGTGCTTATCGTCGTTTCATCGATCTATCAGCATTGAGCTTATCGAATTTAATAATTATCACTTTTCCTACATCAAATGATGTGCTCCTATAACGAATTTGATTCATCATCAACGTATGCATATCATATTTGATTTGAATGAATTCGGTCCAAAGTGAACTTGACGTCATCAACTCCCTCAATGGCGTGTTTTCTGGTCCATAATCATGTCGTCCTGCCTAGAATATATCTAAGATTTCACTGAGACGCCGAGATTCGCTTAAGGACAATGTCGTGGTAGATTCGGCACTTTCTGTTCGGCTGCCTTTAATCGTTGGTTCGTTCGAATGTCGATTTCTATGTATTCACTGTCTAATCATCTTCATTCATTTATCTTTTCCATCCATTCATTTCTTGTCGCTTTATCATTCAGGGCATCGATATTTTCTAAAGGCTACTCTCACATTTCGCGTACAGCACCATATTGATTGGCACGCGTAAAATCGATACCGATCGAAGGTACGGTGCGGTCGAATTGTGACAAAGGCCTGACACTACGCAAAATGATGGTTGTTTGTTTTTGGAAAGGCAATAATGTTGTATATTGGTTATTCTACGTCGTGCTGAAGTTCTACTTATCACTGATAAGGTCACGAGCTGATTGTGTCTAGTCAGTGAAACTCGTCCGTTCAGTGAGTGATTTGGAAAAAGGTGGGTGGCGGGCGTAGCTGTAAGCGCGCAACGCATCCTCTTAAAATAAAAGTGATATTCCATCAATTAATTGTTGCTACTGTATATTTTGATCGCCTTTCATTTTGTGCGCTTTCGGCTGTTTTTGTACGATTTTTCCCCATTCGATTCTCAACAAATAAATATTTCAATATGAATTCTGAAACTTGACCTACTGAGTAGCATCCGAAGATATATTTTAATAAGCAATTAATTGATTAACTGACTGATCAAAGAAACGTATTTAATTTAATAATTTGATTGACAAACTGTAAATTTAAAGGGGTATCCCCTTTTGATCCCCTTAAGGTTTAGCTTACAAAAATGAAAGTCGAGAACCCGCATCGGACTCCTACAGTAATTCGACTATGGGTCATGGTTGCGTTGGTTTAGAGCCTTTAAAAATAGTCTGGGTCCGTAAGGTATGCTCCCCCGAATATAAAAAGTAACCCCCAATTGGGAACGTTAAACCATTCTCACCAAAGTGGATTTCCCCAGCGTCCTTCAAGATGCACTTCTTCCTGATTTATCCTTTGCCACTGGATCCTACGTACTAATCAGATTTTGGAATCGTAGCGGTTGCTTTGAGCAGTGATGCACTTTTGTCGCGTTGACCGCAACCCCCAGTCCCGCCAGTTTGGAGCAAGTGCAAAGGGAAAATTTTGATTTGAAAATCAAATTTCTTGATTGGCCAAAATAAGATTTGGGAAGGGGAGCGCAAAAGTTTTTTCAAAAATGCACTCAAGCGAATTAAATACAAATAGAAAAGAAAATAAAAAGGCATGGCCCTAACAGGAGCGTTCTGATCTCTTTCTTCGGTTAGTGGCAAAACAATGAAAAAATAAGATAAGCGACAGACAGTGCGCGCAGATTTGGAAATAGGGTTGAGTTCCCGTTGATTGTCCAGAAGGGGAAATTTGGTCAAAATAGTTTTCAGATGCTTTTAAAGAAAATTTTATTTTTTCCATTTTTTTGGCAAGTAGGCACGTAGCCAAGACGATATGACTAGTGGTTGAGGTTATTGGGCGTAAATTACCAAATGTTACATCTGGATCACCCATCCAGATCAAAGATCTTTTCAGCTGGCAAAATCTCTCAACTCTCTAGGTTCACTTTAGCTTGGAAGACGGGCGTTAGGAACGATTTTGGGTAATCGATTCGCCGCACGCGGCTGTCGCGGACCACTCATTCGCCGTTATTACAGCTCTAGCGTTCTTCATACAGCTCAATCGAATATGCTATCATTATTTTATGTATAATTCTACTATTAGTACTTTTGTTCTTGAATTTCTTACCTACTGCTGCATCCTGCTACATTCCTTCGCGCGCGACGCACCTCTCACCGCGACGCGACCATTTCGTTCCTAACACAACACACCCACTTTAGCTTCTATGAAACTTATACGGAAACATCACGAATTCCATATCGACTGCTTTCCAAATTCTATCTTCCATCAATATCCTTAAATTTTTTTTCAGCGATGCTATGATTAGTCCGAGTGTGGTCATAGGATAAAAGATGGCAAGTGGAGACGCTGTTTGGGAGAAGATACTCTACCGCAGGCAACCGTATCCGGATAACTACTCCGGTGGTGATGAACAGTTTCTATGCGAGCTTAAGAAGAATTGTAAGTTATTTATGCTTTGTTATTTTCATTATTGTTGTTTTTGTTGAGTTTGTTTTTCCTCATTTTGCAATTTGAAACAAGATCTGCCGCATGATGATTGATGCAGCCGCACCCAATAAGATGGCTCTCTGGCTCCTGTTGGAGTGAAAGATGTTTTCACAAAACCCATTTGTTATTCCACTTTCGTTTTTAGTATCGGCTGTGAAATATACTTACTGGGAAGCAGTTTTTGGTGTCGAACGTCTTGTATTTCACCTGAATCTGATTGTGTTACTGTATATAATTTTTGAATACGTACGTTTGTTTTGGTAATCGATTGATTAGCACTGAATGATTTCGAAGACGTTTGTATTCCGAATAGTTCAGGTTTTCAACAATACGCTAGATGCCACCGTATTAGCCACAGGTCTTATTGCGACGAGTCTACTTCTATATGTAGTCTATGCTTTGGTGTTGACAGAATCGAAGATCAATTTTGTCGATCATCTGTACACGGTTGTTGTGTTATTCCTTTTTGGATATGCTACTACTCCGGCTATAAGGTGAGATTTCATATATTTGATGATTTTGTAGGGGAGAGTAGCGCGCGTATGAGGTGCATGCATATAGCGGTCGCTCGTTGCATTCAGAGTTTGCGTTGGCATATTGCTGAAGTCTGCGTCCATTAGTCATTCCACATGATTTCTTCGTAGGCAATGTGCCAAAAAGTGGCTTGAGTGCAGCCATTCATTGTTAAGATGAGGAACCTAGGGTCAGGTTTACCGAAAATGCGTTCACAGATGTATTTCTAAGCATCTCTACTGAACCCGTACCACTCTTTTCTACACTTAAATTTCAGAACGCTCACAAGTACTATCAGTACAGACACTATATTCGCATTATCATTTATCACCGCATTGATCAGTTGTGTGTTCCACGACTACGGTATTAATGCACCCATGTAAGTTCTGGTAGTTTACGGTCATTCTTATTTTGTGAGCTTTTGGTCGTTTGGTGAATTCCTTTATTTCAAGTAGGTTTCCATCACAAAGTTTTTTGATTACTTTAAAATTACCAAATTAATTCCTTTTAAGCGTGTCTTATCAGTTATCAGTGAGTAGTGGTCTGAGCTCCGCTGTCTTCCTTCTCTCAAGATTGGAATCCAATGATTTGGCGTTCGTTATGTTATCCATGACTTTTGCCTTACATGCGTTTTCTCCATTCATTAGGTAAGTTTTATGATAAACCAGCTATTTCCTTGCCCAGAATGTCATCAAAGCAAACTGTAGATCACAGGCGCGTGCAGTCGCGAAGCGGCCATTGCGACCGCGCGCGTATGTCTTCAACAAGTTGTTTAGCTGGTTCTTTGAATGACTCTGCAGTTTATACTTGGAGACCTTTTTTTCTCAAACCTTTATGGTCTTTAATACGGTACCTAGCACAAGCAGTTTTTGTAGGAATATTCTATTCGCTAATTATGCTGTTGTTGCTACGATGCTCACGATCTCGTTGTCAATCTTTTCAACCTACATGTTATGGACGTTGTATGTGGAATTATCTGTGATGTGGACGTTATTCCAATTATTCCTATTGTTTGTTTGCCCATTTATTTTAATTGTTAAACAAAAGAGCAAGCAAACGATTCATGGCCCGTGGGATGAGGCTATTCTCAGGCAGAATCCATATTAGGGATGAAGTAGGTTTCAGCGTAGGTTTTTGACAGCTTTCACTTACTCGTTGGGCTATGTAGAATCATTGTCCGGGTCCCTAGGTAAGTGAGAATTGTATGGTATTGCTCTTATGAGCACTTTTAAATTTTTTTTACTTTCTTGTAGCCCAGTTATTACATTGTTTGCGATTGTATAGTTGTTGTTCTTGTTTCTTATGCTTATTTATTGCTCTATATCCAAAATTTCCAGACATTGTGATAGACTATGGCTGGTTTCAGTGAAATGTGAAAATCCTGCTGCATGTCGATTCTGTATAAATCTAGGAAAATCCTGACGTTCTTTGCACAAGTCCGCCTTCCGGGTCAAAGAGGTTCTGCTGTTTCAGGGAAAAGGGATTGGTCAGTTGTCTCCATCCCCCTGTCCGCCACGCCACTATGGGTGAGCGTTGTTGCACAGTCCACGAAGCAACCTTATACATTGAGTAGGAACACCCAATTGCCCAAGGTTTCGATTACCGCCTCTGTCTTTCATCCTCGTAGGTATCGATGAAGGTCAGACATAACGACACTCTAAATTATCGCGATACTTCAGTGAGTCGTGTAACTGTGCAGATGTGGTCGGTAATACTGAACTGAGAAGTAAATCTTACCTAGTTCGAAGGTAAAGACAATTACAAGACAGGGAGTGGACCTCTTCTTGATCCCTTCCAGCCTTTCAGTCTTGGTGAAGTCACTTCACTATTTAGATGAATAGGTGCGACTACACATTATCGAAGTTGTAATCAAGTCCTTTGGTTATATCAATTCTTTCTAGTGCTGTAAGCCTTCCATAACTGTTTCATTATTAGTGTGCCAATTCATTTCAACTTTATTCCAACTAAAATGTCAACACAATAAAATTTAATTACATTTATAGTTCTTAATATCTATTACAAGTGAATATGAATATGAAATTAATTACTTGGTCGTGACACCCGCGCTAATTTTTGCTTGAATTTTTTTTCTCAGAGGGGAAATATCATGGTAATTGTATGGCGATAGCGTTCAAGGACGTTAGAGTTTGACTTGACGTACATACTTTTTTTTAGATCACCCAAGTGTGCGGTTGTGGACTGGCGCACAAGGTTCTTCAAGAACAATCATTTCAGATGGGAGAGATGAATGAGAGGATAGCCACGTAATGACAATTAATCAGTTTTTAGAGGATTACATAGAGCCGCATCGCAACCTCTCGCATCGGTGACCCACAAGTTCCAATGACAAATGAACGATTATCGTG